ACGCAGCCGACGGGGGGCACGGGGATGGGAGGCCCACCCCCAGCAGGGAGCTGGGCACCAACTCCTCAAGGGATGTGGGGACAGCAAAACAGGGACACGGGGACGAAATGTGACAGGCAGAGAACAGCCCTTGCTTTGGGGCCCTGGGCTGGGGGCAGCAGTGGGGGGACACCCCAGCTCAGCTCGCACAAGGGGTGCTGACTGCGCCTCCCATCAGTGAATAAACCCGCGCTTGATTTGCATCCAATGTGTGTCGGAGGGTCAGTGCTGCCTGGGGTGGGGCCCATAGGGCTGGGGACCCCCCCCCCAGAGCTCCAGTGGGGGAGCGGAGCCGGCAGTGCAGCCCTACATCGCTCCTGTCCTCCCAGGGACAAATGCCAGCGTCACTCCAGTGACTGACAACAATCAGTATTTATTACACACCGCACTCTCCGGGGCCCCTCCCTGGGTGGGCAGGGCACCCCTCAGCCAGGCCCACGGGACATCCCCATGGCAGCGGAAAGCAGCTCCCAGCAACACTCCATGTTCACGGAGCAGGGCAGGGCCTGCTCCAAAGCACCTGTTCCTCCTCCCAGCCAGTTGGGAGCACCGGGAGAGCAGAGTCCTCCGCTCCACGGCAGCCACACTCGGTTAAATGGACTCGATCTGCTTGCGGACCTTCTCCAGGGCCTTCCTGTCCAGCACACGCTGGCGACACACCACCAGAACCGCGAAGACGGCGGCCACGCACATCATGGTGCCCACAAACCTCCAGAAAACGTGTGCCTCCATCACTGCGGAGCGACAGCTGCACCCACAGGGAGAGTTAGGAGACCTGTAGGGAACTGCCTCGGCCCCAAATCCCACCTCGTCTCCCCCTGTGACCCCTTCAAAGGCTCACGGCTGCCCCGTCCCCCCACCCTACGGCCCACACTCACCTCTTGTACTCGTCCTTCTTGGAGGTGGCACAGTTTATCTTCTCAATGAAGCCCGTGGGGCCGCACTCCACTATCGTCTTCTACAACCAAGAGGGGCCAGCCCGTCAGAGACGGTACCAGGGCAGGACCTGTCTCCCCCGTGTCCACCAGCCCCGGGCAGGGCATGGTGTGGCCCAGCCCACTGGGCGAACAGGTGAGGAGAGCCCTGCTGCTGCCCATACGCACCGCCTGGAAGCTGGAACAAGGCGCGCACTCCTGTGCCACCA